TTTCTATCCTTGATTTGTAAATCGAATTCCTGCAACAACAAAACCCAACGTAATAACCGAGGCTTTGCATCATTCTTTTGCAACAGGTATCGCAACGCCGCATGGTCGGTGTAAACGACAACTGGAGAAAGAATGACGTAAGGCCTGAATTTTTCCAAAGCGTATACAATTGCTAGGAATTCTTTCTCAGTGGTTGTGTAGTTGAGCTGCGCTCCTGATAAGGTTTTACTAGCGTAGTAAATTGGGTGAAAGACCTTTTCCTTCCTTTGTCCAAGGATTGCTCCTACTACTAGGTCGCTAGCGTCACACATTAGTTCAAATGGTAGTGCCCAGTCCGGGGCAATAAGAACTGGGGCTGAGATTAGTTTTTCCTTCAAGGTATTGAACGCTTGTAAACATTCATCCGTGAAGACAAACTCTATACCTTTTTCTAATAGGGCAGTTAGGGGTTTTGCTATTTTAGCAAAGTCTTTGATAAATCTTCTATAGAATCCTGCATGCCCTAGAAAACTTCGGATGGCCTTTACGGAATTTGGTGGTGGTAACTTCTCTATAGTCTCGATCTTAGCACGATCTACCTCTACCCCTCGGCTCGATACCTTGTGACCTAAGACTATCCATTCTTTGACTAAGAATTGGCATTTTTCCCAACTAAGAGCTAGGTGAGTTTCCTCGCATCTTATGAGGACTTTTTCCAGATTACCTAGGCATTCGTCAAATGATTTCCCTGTGATAGAGAAATCATCCATAAAGACTTCCATAAAATCCCCTATAAACTTTTCGAAAATAGCTATCATACACCTCATGAAGGTGGCAGGAGCATTACAGAGTCCGAATGACATTCGACGGAATGCAAAGGTTCCGAACGGGCAAGTGAAAGTGGTCTTCTCCTGGTCTTCAAGGTTTGCATGGATTTGGAAGTAACTACTCATCCCATCCAAGAAGCAATAGTACGCATGGCCAGCTAATTTCTTAATGAGTTGGTCGATAAAAGGAAGGGGAAAATGATCCTTGCGTGTGGCATCATTTAACTTTCTATAGTCTATGACCATTCGCCATCCAGTTACCGTTCTTCCTGGAACTAACTCTCCCTTCTCATTTTTGGTTACTGTCATCCCTCCCTTTTTGGGAACGACGTGGATTGGTGACACCCTTTGGCTATCTGAAATAGGATAAATTATTCCAGCATCCAAGAGTCTAAGCACATCTTTCTGCACTACTTCCATTAATTTTGGATTCAACCTGCGTTGAGCCTGCACAACTGGTTTAAATCCGTCCTCAATGGATATTTTATGTGTGCAATAAGCGGGGCTTATTCCTTGAATATCCTCTAGTTTCCAGGCAATTGCCTGCTTGTGCATACGGAGGACAGCTAGTAATTTTTCCTTCTGATCAGGTGTTAGATCAGAGGCTATGACAACAGGGCACTGTCCCTCACTATCGAGGAAGGCATATTCGAGGTGTGATGGTAAGGGTTTAAGTTCTAAGGATGTGGCTTCGTTTGTGGGTTCAGATCGCGTCTTGATATCGCACACCTCCTCACACTTAGGTTCTTGAAAAGCAATTTCTAGGCTTAGGAGATCTTCTACAGACCCTTTATCTTTTATGACTTTTACTGAGTTGCAGAACTCAGCTGGGTCTGGAGTTCGATTCATGACGCTCATCATTTTAAAAGTAACATCTTCATTGCCTACTCTTAGAGTTAATTCCCCATCGTGCACATTAATTAATGCCTTTGCGGTCGCAAGGAATGGTCGCCCTAGTAATAGCGGCTTTTCCTTATCTTCTTCCATATCCAACACCACAAAATCAGCAGGGAAGATGAACTTATTTACCTTCACAAGCACGTCTTCAATCACCCCCCTGGGGTAACGAATAGAGCTATC